TCGTAGGTGAAGAGGGGATATATACGTATATGGTCACTCCCATCTGTATCTTAAAATGTCAATCCTACTATCGTAATTTTCCTCGACCGTAAAGCTTATCTTTGTTCTTTTAACGATTTCATTTAAAGGCATACCTTCATTACTAACTTGAATAGTCTGATAATTTCTTGACTCGTTTTCGGTATTTGAACTCGCTGATCCAGAATGAGTATTTTCATTATCAAGTACATAATTTTTATCTTGGAGACCATCTGAATTTGTTTGTTCATCAACATCCATAACCGAAGACGGAGGATCCCTCTCCGAAATAATTAAGTTTTCTAAAGTATTATATAATCTTTTCCAGATGAGATTAACGTGTTGATCCGTAATTCCTCTGCAATATCGGATATCAAAATATCTCAAAGGTGCTTTACAATTATCCAAAAAAGTGTTCAAAGTACGAAGAGTAAACATCCACGGTGCTAATATTTCCAAATGTTCCACACTCGGAGGTAAAGATTTTCCCAATTGTGGCAGAATTGCATCAGCAAGAATTTCCACATAACCCCAACTACTCAAAACTAATTTATTTAATCTCGGACAATTATAAAACGGACATGATTTTAGGGCAAAGAAATGTGATTGATCAAGTTTAATTGTTAATTCTAACAAGTCAAGGTGATATTTCTCTATAGCATTTATTGTAGTAGTTGTCGTTTCTGCCGTCATAACTATAGAAAGGTACATCAAAGATTTGCTCACATGTTGTAAGAGTGTATCAAGCAAATCTGATTGGATGAAGCTGATACCTTCGTATCCGTTCATTACCAATTTTTTAAGATTCATAAAAGTGCAAAAACGAAATGGTTCCATTACGTATTCTTGATGCCGACAGTTATTGAACACCAAAGTTTCTAAATTTATCAAACTTACTATAGAATTCAAAGGATGCCAGAACCTAAAATCAACATGATAAAATTCAACAACGGTCAGCGAATTTACCTGACTACTTAACGAAGAAAGTTCTACATTTTTTAGCCTTGAAGAAGGGCTCCACCAAAAACGACCAGGATATTCAACAAATATAAACTCCTTCAAATGTTTTTGAACATCAATGAGTCGGGACAAAGCGTCAAGTTCACGCTGTGCTCTCTCTGTACTCCATTCATCATTCATACACATGCGTATAACCAAGGTTTCGATTTCATGACATGATGAAGCAACATTAATAAAAGTTTG